ATTACTAAGCACAATTTTAGCAGACATGGCACATTTTGCAAGCAAGAATTTCTTGATGTAGGAAACAATACCTTGCTTTAACTTCTGGCACATGTTCCTCACCTCACGGAAGAATGTTAACAGTGAGTAAACTGGCAGGACACACTTTAAGTAGCACTGATATAGGGGAAGCTTAATAAGATATATTTTTTGACTTCAGAAAACCCATACAGAGGTAAAAGAAATACACATTTAAATACATTTTTTTTTTTTTTTTGGTCAAGTGCCATGATAGGGAACTGTGTGAAAGAACTGGAGAATTGTGAGAAAGACAAGGATTGGTCCCTTGTGTTCTGCCTTAGCCACACCCATTCTGACACCTGTACTCCATTATAACCAGAACCTTCCACCATGCCCCTCCCACCTGATCACACACCACTCATTCAGGCTCCTCTACCCCACCCCTGCTTTTCACCTTGGCCACTCCCATACCCGCATGCTAAGCTATCTGTGCACCCCTGCTGAGACCCTACCCTCTGTGTTATGCCCTTATGCCCAGGCCACATCTTCCAGTGCTCTGGTTATGGGCCCACACAGTCTCCTCCACTGGGCCTGATCTTGGGAAACCCTGGAGTTGCAGGTTCTTCTGAGAAACCAGGGTTCTTCTGAGAAATTGTGAAAGGGAACTGAGAATTGTAGGAGAGAATAGAAAATGGTAGAAAAGATGGGGAATTGTGGGAAAGAAGGGAGAATTATGAGAGAAGGGAGAATTGTGGGAGAGAATGGAGTATTGTGAGAGAACAGAGAATTGTGAGGGGAAATGTGGAATCGTGGGAGAGAAGAAATTGTGAAAGAGCATTGAATATTGTGACAGAACAGAGAACTATGACAGAGAATATGGAATTCTGGGAGAACAGGAAATTTTTAGGAGAACTAGAGATTTGGGGAACTGTGGGAAAGAACAGAGAATTGAGAGATAGGGAAATTGTAGGAGAACTAGGGAATGATGGGAGAGAATAGAGACTTGTGGGAGACATGGAGAACTGTAGGACCAAACGGAGAATTGTGAGAGAGACACAGAATTGTGGGAGCCATGGGAGTTGTGAAAGAGAATAGAGTACTGTGAGGGAACAGAATTATAAGAGAAAATAGGAAATTAGGGGAAAGAGTGGGGAATTATAAAAGAAAATGAAATATTGTAAGAGAACAGAAAATTGTCAGTGAGAGCGGAGCATTGTGAGAAAGAATAAAGAATTTTGGGAGAGATGGGGAATTATGAGAAAGGGAATTGTGGCATGGAACACAGACTCGTGGGAGAGAACAGAATTACAGGAGACAGGAAATTATGGGAAAGAACAGAGATTTGTGGAAAACATAGGGAATTATGCGGAAGACAAGAAATTGTGGGAAACAACAAAGAATTCTAGGAGAGACAAGGAATTAATGGAAAGACAAGGAGTTGTGGGAGAGACATGGAATTGCAGGATAGAACAGAGAATTGAAGGAGAAACAGGGAATTATAGCAGTGAACAGAGAATTGTGGAAGAGACATGGGATTGTTGGATGGAGCAGAGAATTATGGGAACAAACATGGAATTGTGGGAAAGAAATAGAATTGTGGGAGACACAGACAATTGTGGGAACAAATGGAATCGTGGGAGAAACAAGGAATTGTGGGCACAAATAGGGAATGGTGGGAGACACAGTGAACTGTGGGAACAAACAGGGAATTGTGGGAAAACATGTATTTGTGAGAGATACAGAGAATTGTGGGAGATATAGAGAAGTATGAGAACAAAGATGAAATTGTGGGAGAGAAAAGAGAATTGTGGGAATAAACTGAACTGATGGAAAGAACAAAGAATTGGAAACAAAGAATCATTGGACAGGGAATTGTGGAAGAGAACAGAAAATTGTAGGAAACTACAAAGAATTGTGGGAAAGAAATGGAATTGTGGGAGACACAAGGAAATGTGGGAGAAACGTGGAATTACGGGAGAAACATGGAATAATGGGAGACACTGAGAATTGTGGGAGAGAACAGAGAATTCTGAGAATAACCTGAACAGTTGAAAAGAACAAAGAAATGTGGGAACAAAGGTAGAATAATTGGACAGGGAATCATGGAAGAGAACAGAATTGTAGAAGACTACAAAGATTATGGGAGAGACATGAAATTATGGGAGACAGGGAACTGTGGGAAAGAGAGAACTGAGGGAACAAACAAGGAATTGTGAGAGACATGGTGAATTGTGAGAACAAGCAAACTTTGGGAGACAGAGAATTGTGGGAGTAAACAGGGCATTGTGGGAGAGATGTGGCATCATGGGAGATGCATGGAATTGTGATAGACACAGAATTGTGGGAAAAAACTGGGAATTGTGGGAGAGGACAGAAAATTGTAGGAAACTACAAAGACATGTGGAAAAGACATGGAACTGGGTACAGAGAATTTTAGGAAGAAGGGATTGTGGGAGAGACATGGAATTGTGGGAGAGAAAAGGAATTGTGGCAACTAACAGGGAATTATGGGAGACAGAGAATGTGGGTACAAACTGGAATTGTTGGTGAGACATTGAATTATGGGAGAAACATGGAATTATGGGAGAGGCAGAATTGTAGAAGAGAACAGAAAATTGTAGGAAACTACAAAGAATTGAGGGAAACAAATGGAAATGTGGGAGAGACATGGAATTGTGGGATAAAACAGAGAATGGTGAAAAAGAAATTATGAGAGAGTGGGAAATTAGGGATGACAATAGGGAATTGTGAAAGAGAATACATTACTGTAAGAGAATGAAGAACTGTGAGCGAGAGCAGATAATTATGGGAGAGAACAAAGAATTGTGGAAAGAACAGTGAATTATGGGAGACAGAGAATTGTGGGAGAGAAGGGAGAATTGTGGGTGAGACCTGAACTTGTTAAAGAAAATAGAATATTGTTAAAGAACAAAATTATGAGAAAATGGGGAATTAGGGAAGAGAGGGGAACTGTGAAACAGAATGCAGTATTTTAAGAAAATGGAGAATTGTGAGGGAGAGTAGTCAGTTGTGGGAGAAAACCAAATTATTGGAGAGATGGGGAATTATGGAAAACACAGGGAATTGCGGGAGAGAAAATTATGGGATTCACAAGGAATTGTGGGAACAAACAGAGAACTGTGGAAACAGAACTGTGGGAGACAGGGAGATGTGGGAAAGAACAGAGGACTGTGGGAGAGTAATAAATTGTGGGAGAAATAGGGAACTGGGGGAAGGAACAGAGAATTTGGAGAATGACATGAAATTGTGGGAAAGAGAGAACTGTGGGAAAGAACAGAGCTGATGTGGGAGACAGAGGGATTTGTGGCGGGAAAAAAAAAAAAACTTGTGGGTGAGAAAGGGATTTGTGGGAGGAGAAGAGAACTGTGAGGAGAAGAGAGAAGTTGAACTGGGAGATGTAGTTGTAGTCTCCAGGGAATCCTCAGTTGATCCTATGAGCAACTCTGAAGCTGGGATGGCCCTTCTGAGTTATCCCACTTGAAGCTAAAGGCCTGGGCTTATGGACCCTTGCTGAGACCACTTACAGGATGCAGCCTGTCCCCAAGGAGGGAATGTGATTTTGCATGAGGCAATTCTGTCAGGCAAAGGGCAATTCCTGGAGACTCAGCTGAGAGTTATTGGCCACCAACACTCCCAGTACAAGTAACAAGATCGAATTACCTCAATTTCAAAGTAGCGATGAATGGTATTTTGAGACAGACACAACAACCATACGTGACATAATTTACCTGGGGTTTCTATTAGTGCCACATATAGCTGAACTATTGGGATTTGTTGCCTACATTCCTGATGAAGGAACCTGCTGAATTTCTGTTGTAGGTAAATGAAAATACAGATATTCAAGTCCACACCCAGTTAAGAAGGCGGCCAGAACCCTGTGTTGTTCATTTGGGGATCGCCAGAGTCAGCCACAGTTCTGGACACCTTGAATCATTGCCATAATTAAATAACATTAAAAGAATAGATACTTTAAAACTCCTCTCAGGCACCCCCTCTGCTGCTTAAAGCATATACGAGTATAGTAGAGATCTTTATTTAATCTAGGGAAGCCTCCGGACCAGTCTAAACTCACCTGCCATCCTGGCGTGTTGAAAAAGGCGCCTGCCAGGGGGGGCGGGGCCAGAGAGAGTCCCCTCGCGGTTATAGGCCGAGGCTTGAGGGGGCGGGACCCGCTCTCCATGATTGACGAATACTCCTCCTCTTCAGCCCGCGCCCCGCCTTCTGCGCGCCCGGAAGTCCCGCCTTCGGAAGAGGAAGTCCTGCCTTCGGCGGTGACCGCGGTGACATCGGTGACCGAGTGAGGCGGCGGCGGAGGCAGGGTTGACGGTTAGAGGCGGGGCCGGCAGCCCAGGGGAGGAATCCGGTGCGGTAGGATGGGCTGGCTGTGGCCGGTGGGGTTTGGGGACCGCGGGCTGGAGCCGGTGGGAGGCGTGGGAACGGTGTGGGGGAGGACTCTGGCTGCGCCCCGCCCTCCGCTGTCCCTCCTTTCCTTCCTGGCATCCCCACTTCCGCGCCGCATCCTTCCTCGGTTCCCAGCCCCTTGCTAAGGCCCCGGGCCCAGGGGTCGGGTCTGGGTTCAGTGGGCCTCCTCCCCTCTCCCATCCGGACCACCACCTCCCTCCCAGGCCCGCACCCTCTCGCTGTAACATGGTTTCACAGAGGCCGTGTCCTCTCAACCGGCAAATCCCCACTGCCTTAGAAACGTGCCCTCAGAGGGTAGCGTAGATTTCAAAGTATATCCCGTAGGGGGGCAATTTGCGAGGGTACTTCAAAAAGTTCGTGGAAAAATAGAACTGAAAGATAATACGAATCCTTCCATGAACTTTTTAAAGTACCCTGGCATTAGAGCTGTCCTCGAAATGAGTATGTTGTCCAGTAGATTCTCATGGGATGATGAAGAACAAGGATTGGCCAGATTAGGAATAACAATTGAATTAGTCTGAGTCCAGGCGTCAACGTTAGTCTCTTTGCTTTGGCAGGTGGGAACTTAGAATTGTTTGGCGTCAACACTGATTCCAACCATGGGTTTGTCTGCATCTACTCCTGCTGTTGCAGTTCAGACCTCAAATGCTTCAGATCATCAGACAGCATCTCCACCTTCAGGATGCCCAATGCATGAGGGGAAAATGAAAGGTAATCGACCGTTGTCTGAAGAATAAAGACAAGAGAAAATACTCAAAAGGGTTTTAAGGAAGAGGAAGTATAGTGTGAGGTATAATATGAGGCTCCTAGGCCTGGGAGTGAGGCATCCTGGGTCCAGTCCTTTTTTTGCCATTTATAAGGTATGTCACTGTAGACGAGTTACTTATGTCTCAGTCTATCATCTGTAAGATGAGCATATAATAATATTATTTTACAGGGTTGTTATGATGATTAGTTGAGATAATGCATGAGAACCTAGTGATTGCTCCATAAACCAGCCCTGACTCTCCAAAGTTGACCTGTGCTGGGCTGGCCCGTGGCTCACTCGGGAGAGTGTGGTGCTGATAACACCAAGGCCACGGGTTCGGATCCCATATAGGGATGGCCGGTTGCTCACTGGGTGAGCGTGGTGCTGACAACACCAAGTCAAGGGTTAAGATCCCCTTACCGGTCATCTTTAAAAAAACAAAATGTTGACCTGTGCTTACATCAGAAGTTCTCAACTCGGGGGACAAATCCCCCCTGCAGCACCAGGGGATATTTGCTAATGTCTGGAAACATTTTTGGTTGTCACAACTGAAAGGAAAGGGTGCTACTGATATCTGGTGGGTAGAGGCCAGGGATGTTGCTAAACCTCCTACAATGCACAGGACAGCCCTCCAACAAAGAATTACCTGGCCCCAAATGGCAAGAGTGCCAAGGTTGAGAATAAACTTTGCTCCCATATCCATTGCAGTATTCTTCTATGTAAAAATAAGCCCTCACCTAATGGACTTACAGTATGTTTTTTAGGTGCAAAGATGAAAGTGGAAAAGTTGTCTTTCATTTTTAATTGGTGTATGTCCGCTTTAGATTGTTCGTATTAAAGTGTGGCTTGCATCAGTAAGCCATGAGGGGCAGAAGCAGCGTGGTGTGCTTACTGAGTGCTCATGGGTGTGTCATCGTCATTCATTTCCTCACTCAGCCATCCCACCCTGAGAGGTCACTGTTCATCCTGTGCCAAGCACTGCTGGATTTTGTTTGTTTGTTTCTGCACTGAGACAATAGCAGTGTACAAAATAGACAAAATTTCTTTGCCTGTGGGTACTTACATTCTTGTTGGCATAATACTGTGTCGTAGGTTTTCTCCCTATTTTACAGCCAAGAAAACTGGAGTAACAAGGCTTGGAGTAACTAACTGTTGGGCTCCAAGTCACACAGCTAGTAAGTGGCAAAGCCAATGAAAATTTGTAACCTTGTACAAGGACATATCCAGTACTCTTCAGGGGTTTCTTCATCCAGGAAGAATTGAGACAGATCAGACAAAGCAGGTGTGCGCCTGCTCTGAGTGTCCCTGGGGTGATCATAGAGTCCTGGTCTCTGGTTTTACTTCACTTGCCGTCTATCCCAGAGAGCTGTCAGTCAGACTTATTTGCCTTGTAAAGAATGTGGGTATTTGTAGGAGATCAAAGGGGCCCCTGGTTATATTGTGGGAAAAATGTCAACAGCATTTCCTTTCTAACATCCAGTTGGAATCAGTGACCTAGAAAGGATTGGTGCTTTGAATGGTAGAGAAGGAAGGAATAGTAAGTCTCCCTCCACCCCCTAAAGTGAGCGCTGCACAGCATACTGGGGAGTGAGGGCCTGGGAGGAGAGGCACGGGGAAGGGAGTGAAGGAAACTCTTCTTCAGTGTGTGACATCTACAGGTGTATTCCTGTGGTTACTGCTGTTGCCTAAGACAAGGATTCCAATACACGAGCAGCTGTCTCCTGGGCTGCAGCTCTCGAGGCGCCTGCCCACTCTCCTGACTCTTAGACTAGCCTCTTGGTCCTCACACTTGCTTGACCAGCACTCTGAGTCCTTAGGAGTTCACTTCCCTTCCTGCTGCTCATCTCTTTAGGCTCAGACTCTCCCTGTTAAGAAGCATCTGGATCCTACATAGGTTGCAGGATGTTTTCTTTGATGTCTGCCTTTTCTTGCTCAACTCTTGGGGAATACTGATGGGGAATAGCACCTGGGCCAAGTGCTAGTTTTCTGTGCCTTATTTTAGTCTTGGGACAAAGCCCGAGCAGAGTGGCACTCAGGTTTTCCTCCAGCAGCCTTTGTGGAATCCCCTCTGCTCATTTTCTTTTCCCGCCCCAGTGCCTAAGAGAATGCATCAGTAACAAAAGCCTGGACTGTGGCCCTGTCCTGATTGGGGCTGGGGCTTGTCTGGAACTAGTGTATGGAAAGTCAAGGGCACCCTGTGAAATGTGGACTGGCCCCCACTTAGGTTCCCCTAATGGCTCCCAGCTGCTAGTTGAAGCAGGTACCTTCTAGTCTGTTACTGAAACCGTGGCATGGACAGTACATGCTCTTGCAACTGCTGAGAATTTTTGGTTTATTTTTGCTGGGGGCATGGCACAATTAGAGAATGGGTACCCATTTCTCTTTCAAAGGAAAAGTTAATTTATAGAACCTTCTCATCTTTAGGATTTTAGAATGTTAGCTAGATTAGTTCTTAACTTTAAACAGAAGAAACCCAGCTTTTCCTGTGGTGCTAATCATCAATCAGAAATTCGGCTCTTTAGGGCCCCAGTTGAGAGAAGCAGATGTACTGCCTTCGTGGTTGCACTGTTATTTTACTTGATTATTTCAGGCTGTCCAGTGAGTATGGAACCACCTGACTCAACCTGTGAGAGCAAAACATACTCTGTGCCTGCCCACCAAGAACGAGCGTACGAGTATGTGGAGTGTCCTGTGACGGGTGCCGTGGCTAAGAATCAGGAGAACCTCGACCCTTCAAATCTGGTAATCTGTACTCATCCCTTCTTCCTGGAACTTTTTATGCAGAGATGCTATTACAGACTTCTAAGACAAACTGTACACTGCTAGGATGGATTCTTCTGTCCTTTGAAAACAAAGTTTTTTATTCCATTCACAGTGAAAATCTAGAATGTGTTTACTTAGTTTCAGAGATTGCCTGGGAAAGAAAACAGTGATTAAAAAGAGCCAGAATAGGTTTACTGGGAATAAACCATGTTACACTTTCCTCTGTGTAACCGAGACAGAAAAAAAGAGAAAGAAAGAATTCACTCAGGGTAACATGAATGAGGCCTGGAGGGACTGCCGCCCATCAGGGGAGCAGCAGCCCTGATTCGAAATCAGCCTTTCTTTTTATTGACAAGACAAGGGAGTTTCACAAGAAAAATCAGTTGATTCAATCATCAAAGAAGGATATAAAAACAGGCAGTGTTACAGAAGGGAATTATAGCTAAGTATAGTTTTAAACAACTAAAACTAGTAATAGCAGTAAAATTAACAATGTGGTATTCTAGAATGCGATTTGTAAAAAGCTAAGGTGATCCACCAACAAACAGCTTGCCCTTAGTAAATATTTTCTTTTTTACATACTTCCTATAGCCATTTCTTTAGCATATTTAAACAGCATTCAAGCAGTTTTTAAAAAATATATAAAGAACAATCAGTAGGATAAATAGTCAATAGTCATTCAAGCCGGAATCAAAGCAGCAACCTAAAACAGTCAAAGTACACAATCCCATCCCTAAACAGTGATTAGAATTGATTAGACGGCTTTTGCCAAACTTATCTGTGGACTTTCGTCCCCTACTCTAGAGCCTTTTGGCTCATTCATGCATTACCTAAAAATCCTATTCTAAGATCAAAGGAGAATCAAGATTTCTAACCCACTGCAAAACCATACCAAGTGAGTATTTTCTTGTGGGAGAGAATTATTGGGTGGTAGATGGGAAATTCCTAAGGTGTGTAGCTAGACTTAGTAAAGGTGTTTTTGGCCTGGGGAAACCTTGTAGCCACTTTACAAGATCAGGGTGCTTCTTCTAGAACAATTGGGTACTAGCCAAAACAGGAATCACTAGAGGGTGCAGTGTCATGTGGCTGTCAGCAAATTTAACACCATGGAGAAATGAGGACAAGGTAGTTGTGGCTTCAGTATGTTTTGTGATAGACAACATAGGGAATTGTAGTTTCATGTTTGGAATCACACGTAATGGAGAGACAGACGGACTTGGGCCTTTATTTTGGAGGGCCACAGGATTATCAAGAATAGTTAGAAATTTTAGTGAACCAGGTAACATTTTAAGGAACTAGAATATTCAGCCTGTAAAAGAAAGGGTACGGGGGATACAAAAGCAGTGTCCACAGCAGGAATTTGTTGCTTTGCTTCCCACGGATTTGTCACCCCTCTTCCCCTGGGTGACAGAGCCACAAAGGATTACTCAAAGCACGAAAAAAGACAAAAAGGAAAAAAAAAAAAAGAAGCAAAGTTGAAATTTAAAATCTAAAAGTGTTGCTTTGCCTCCCACGGATTTGTCACCCCTTTTCCCTGGGTGAGAGAGCTGCCAGAGATTACTCAAAGCCCATCTCTTCTGAGCAGTGAGAAGCCCCAAAGTGGTTAATCTCCTGGAACCCTCAAGAGAGAGGCATTCCTTCCATTTGGGAAATTAACCACAAATTGGGGTTCTCTTCCCACATTTATTCTCCAGACCAGGAAGTTACAGGAAGAGAACATAGGTGGGGTTATAGTTTAACAATATAGGCTGGCAACATTCAGTAAAACAAGCAGAGTGACATTCCATAAGGCAATTTAAGTGATCCACCAACAAAAGCTTGATCTTAGCAAACATTTCTTCTCCCTAACAGCTTCCCAGTATCTTTATATATCAATCAGTAACTTGTCCGTCTTTGAACCAGCAACTTTGCTGTGTACAATTCTTGTCTTACAACAGAGACTATAGCCTGGGGAAAATTTCCTGTTTTTTGCAAGGCCAACAGTTTATATGTACTTTTAAGAAATTAGACTAAATGTGAAAGTACAAGAAACTAGGCCCTGTGAAATATATTTGCTTTATAGTATATTCCACAGGAATTGACAACCTATGGCCCACAAGCTAAATCTGCCCCACTGCCTGTTTTTGAAAATAAGTGTGTTGACATATGGCCACACTCATTTATTTACACTTACACACCACAGGGAAAGTAGCAGCAGAGTCGAGTAGTGTGACGGAAACCATATGTCACGTAATACCAAAAGTATTTACTGTCTGGCCGTTTACAGAAATAATTTGCTGATGACCCCTGGTCCAAATATTTGAAGGCCTGTGTAGAAGACAGTCTTGGTACAGTGCCCAAGGACTGGTGGGTTGTGTGTGCTCTACCATCCACTATAAGAGGCAATGTACAAAGGAGCTTTGCAGCAGTGAAACCTACCTGCGTACGGTATGGGCTCTTGGATGAAGTAGTAAGCTGCCAGCATTATTTAGTAGATATTTCGAGTGCGCCCTGTGTGCCGGGGCCTCTTCTAGGCCAGGGGTTACAAAGATGAGTAAGGCACAGCTCTTGCTCTCAAGTGATTCACATTCTAGAAGATGAGAGATGAGAAAAGAGGCAACAGTGTGGTATGCTCACTTATAGAGGGAAGCCCAGGGCCATTTGGGAGGGACTGATACCCCAGACTTCGAGTTCAAGGACAGCAAAGGAGTAAAGGAGTTGTGGTCAAACTTTAATGATGACCGTGCCAGACTATAAGGAAATTGCTATGTCGAGGAAGGAGGTAGACAAGATCAAGGTTTCTCACCCTTGGCACCAGTGAAACTTGAGGCTGGGTGATTGCTTGTCGTGGGTGCTGTCTTATGCGCTGCAGGATGTGTAGCTGCAGCCCGGCCTCCACCCACTAGTTGCCAGGAGCACCTGCCTCTCAGTTGTGACAGCCAGTAGATCACTGATCTAGGTGATCTCTACTAGCCTAGTGGTTAAGAACTTGGGCCTTCTGGGATCTTACAGACCTAGACTCTTCCCCCATGGGATTGTCATGTGTCATGGGACTATTAATAACAGCCAACTTATCTTGTGGTCCTTTCTGCAGCATTTGCGCTAAGCACCACGCACTCTTCTTTAACCCTCATAACAGCTCTGAGCAGCCAGTAGTGTTAGTGTCCCTATTTCAGGGCTGAAGATTCTAAGGGTGACACAGTAAGCGGTTTGCTCCACAGCACTCAGCTAGGGAGTGGCAGAGCCAAAACTACACCCCGTCTGCCTCACACCTGTGTTCTTAAACCCGCTGGAGTATGGTCAGGTAAATACTTGGTGCAGTGCCTTCCACACCCGGCCCTTTCTGCTGGGGTTGTTCTAACTAGGAGCCGTGTCAGGACAAAGACTTTGGATTATTAATGTGTCTGCTAGAAAATCCTTCCTACTTCTAATACAAAAAGAAGTTCTAGGCCAAGGGTTCTCAACCTGGAGTGATTCTGCCCCACAGGGGACAGTTGGCAATGTCTGGAAATATTTTCCATTGTCACAACTGGAAAGGAGGGATACTACTGGGTAGAGGCCAGAGATGCTTCTAAACATTCTCTGATGCTCAGACAGACCCTCCATAACCCAAAATTGTCCAGCCCCAAATGTCAGTGGTGCTGAGGATGAGAGACCCTGGCCTGGGCCAGGTGTTATCATAGTAGTATTGCTGAGCCATGTGTGGGAGAAAGAGTCTTCCCCCACTTCTGGTCTGGCGGTGTTGAGATGGAAATACTCATCTATAACGTGTTCAGCCCCAAGGATGAAAGCATAAGCAGGATCCTAAGAGTAAATGTTTAAAAAGAAAGTAGTATTGTACATATATCCTACGAGACTTTTCCTCAGAAGAGTGAATAGTCATTTTTGAAAATCCTGTCATAAAAACATTTTTAGAAATGCCTGCTGATCATGGTATTAGTTTTTATTTCTTATTTTTGGTGACATTGCTCCTAAAGTTGTTCAAAGGAGAAAAAGACCAAAAATTTAACCACAATGTTTAATTACCACTTAGGAGAACTTAATCGATGAGGAAAAACAACTGCAGTATCCCGACTCTTCCAAAAAAGCACATTCTCTGAGAAGGCTGCAACGTCCATGTCAGTGGTTTAATAAGGAGCCTGTGCTTTGTGTGTTGTGCATTGCCTTCCAGAAAGTAATTCATTAAACTGCTCATTTTCACTTTACATCATATCTCCAGCATTTAAAAAACAAATCCACTTATTTTATTTAGGTGCCACCACCTAATCAAACACCAGCCCCAGATCAGCCGTTCACACTGTCTACTGTCCGAGAGGAATCATCCATTCCAAGAGCAGATTCAGAGAAAAAGTGGGTTTATCCTTCTGAACAGATGTTCTGGAATGCAATGTTAAGGAAAGGGTAAGTGAGTGAGCATATTATTTAGAATATAAATTTGCTCATCAAATTTCTTTAAGAATTGAGTATATTAAAGAGGTTTTTACTCCCCAAACATATAGTAAGTTTTAATAAGTTAATCAGTTTGTAATAAATCAACTGATTTTTCAGACCTATTAGAATATAAGTGCAAGGCCAGTGTATTAGTCAGGGTTCTCCAGAGAAACAGACCCAACAGATGGGGGTGGGGCGGGGAGGGTGCTGGAGCATGGGCAGGAAGAGATTTATTATAAGGAACTGGCTCATGTAATTATGGAAGCTGACAAGTCCCAAGATCTGCAGTTGGCAAACTGAAAAGCTGATGGCATAATTCCAGTCTGAGTCTGAAGGCCTGAGAACCTGGACAGCTGAACACACCCAAAATCATGTTTGACCAGATGTCTGGGTACCCAATGGGCCAGGCAGGTTGACACATAAAATTAACCATCAAAGCCAGTAATGGTTTTTAGAAACAAACAAACAAACAAATGCTATTATATAAAATGCTTAGACAAAGTTAGGAAATCATTTATCAATGGTACTAACTGGAAAAGCATCACCTTAAAAATAGATGGTTCTGTAAGTCTGGTTTTTGGTGACCCAGTGAAGTGAGATTAAGGTGGACCTTTAATCTTTGTTTCCAGTGTATATATTATAGCTTCAGATTTATAGCACTACTCTGTGATCATGAGTGAATCTTGAAAATGAGTCATATCCGTTAAAATCAAAGAAAATAAGCATTTTTAGTTCTTTAATGAAGAGTAATGTTTAATAAGTCATCTTCTGAATATGTGGATTAACTTTTTGGCATTATCAGTAACATTTGTCACATTTTACCAACTGTTCTTCCCTAGGTGGAAGTGGAAAGATGAGGATATTAGTCAGAAAGATATGTATAACATCATCAGAATTCATAATCAGAATAATGAGCAGGCTTGGAAGGAGATTTTGAAGTGGGAAGCCCTTCATGCTGCGTAAGTATGTTTGAGATCTTGAAAAAAAATCTAGTGTCTTTCTCATTTCATATCAGCTTCCTAGAATGTCACTTTGCCTTACACAGGGTGACGGAGATGCAAAAAGGATTACTCAAAGCCTATTTCTTCTGAGCAGTGAGAAGCCCCAAAGGAGTTAATTTTCCAGGAACCCTCAAGAGAGAGGCATTCCTCCTTGGAAAATAACCCTGAACTGGGGTTCTGTCTCAGTATTTATTCTACAGGCCAGAAAGTTACAGAAAAGGAACATAAATGGAGTTATGGCTAAGTATAGTTTAATGATAGAGGCTGGTAACAGTGAAATAACAAAGTGACATTCCATAATACAATTTGCAAAAGGTTAAGTCGATCCACCAGCAAAAGCTTGTTCTTAGCAAATACTGACTTTTCCTACAGCAGTTTCCTCAGTATGTTTACATAAAAATCAAGTAACTTTAGGTTAACCTGCTCCAAGGGCATCCGTCCTTGAGCCAACAATTTTGCTGTGTTACAATTCTTTATCTACAACAGAGACTTTAGCCTGGGGAAAGTTTCCTGTCTCTTGCAAGCTTAACATTTCTTTATGTAATTTTAAAAAGTTAGGTTATACCTGAAACTACAGGGCTTTGGAGGCTAGGCCCTGTGAAATACATTTGCTTTATAAATGTTAATATACTCCACACTAGAGTTTTCCCATTTTATTAAAGTAATTTGCTATTTTAGGCTTGCTGGTTAGCTCAGTTGGTTAGAGCATGGTGCTGATAACACCAGGGTTCAGGGTTCGACTCCTGTACCAGGCAGCCACCAAAAAAGACAAACAAATAATTTACTATTCTACTAAAACTTTCTGTGTTGCAGGTATGTTCCGGTGACGATTAGGGCATGACAGACCACTCCTTCTTAGTTGTGTAAAAAACAGCAACCATTTTATTAGGCTTGTGGATTCAGTGGGTACAGAGTGCAAACAGGGCAGAGCAGGGCAGCTCGTCTCTGTTCCCTGATATTGGGCCGTGACTGCCAAGTTGCAGTGGTCAGTGTGGCTTCAGAGCTGGGGGCTGGAGTCCTCTACAAGGCCCAACTATTCACTTTAGTGAGTGGTGCCGGCTGTGGGCAGGACACCCGCTCACGGCCTCTACATGTGGCCTCTTTGGCTTCCTCACCTCCTGGTGGCTGGGTTCCAAGAGATAGAGTTTCAGAAAGCACCAGGTGCTTTTGACCAAGCCTCAGAAATCTTGTAGCATCAGGAGCCTACGGGAGGAGTATTCCAGCCCATGGAAAACAGAGCCTGTGGAAGGGAGATACTAAAATGCTATCTACCCCAAGGGAGATGGGAAAGACATTTTTGTTCCCTGCACAGCATCTTTTGGATCCCTGTTAGGACTAAACATATGAGAGATATCTTAACAGAGGGCCTTTTGTCCCAGGAGAATAGGTAAATGAGCATGTGTGTGTTAGCGGCCACAGGGCCTCAGTGTGTTGGGGGCAGTGCATCACCTGGAAAGTTTGATCAGACTTGGCATGCTGACCGCCCCCCATGGCGTCTGGCTCTGTCAGTATCAGGTGTGGCCGAGACATAGTGTTTCTAAGCGATGCTGATGCTGATGCTGATGCTGATTGGAGGACTCCACTTTGAGAAGTACAGGGGCAGGGCATGCCTACTCAAAGAGCCAGATTATGTCATAATCAGCGATTTACTTTTCAAATTCATTGCAGAATGCAGTTAATTAATTTCTGGGCTAAAATCCACTTACTGACTTTTTTAAGGTGTTCTGTTTGTTTGTCTTCGATATTTGCACTGTGCAGTTCATTAATAACACTCCCTGGGTGTGGCTGGGCCCAAGGCTGGGATGGGGACATGTGCAGGGAATGATGCTGCAACCACGTGCCCTCTCAACGACCCGTAGCTGCAGGAGTCACCCTCCCAGCTTGCTGATGAGGAGAGCCACAAGTGTCTGCAGTGACCTAGGTTGAAAGTGTACTGTAATTAAAACCACCTGCTAATTACTTGTAGTGTGATTATGGAGCAAAGAGAAGAAAGACGACTTTCAGTTTTAGTTTCAACTCCCTGTCCAGTCATTTTCTAGAGTTCAGTCAGAATTAAGTAGGCCTTTTCAAAACCCATTCTGTGGTCCCCAGGAGAAAGTCTGCCTGGATTGAGTTTACTTCTTTGCCTGTGACCCTCTTGAGAGGAGATTTAAGGAGTAGTTCCTAAAAGGAGAATAAAGTAACTTGTATAGTCCTCAAATAGGGAGTGTTACCCCTCGGACCTTTTGCTCCCTCTGGCTTAATTAGAGGCATATCAAGACGAAGACTGTCTTACCACTGGGAGAAGCTAACGAGACAGGTGGCCTCGCGTCTAGACTGCCATCCCCTCTCCCCCCAGAGAAGCAGCTGCGTGTCTAGTGCATAGGTGGACCACCAGCTCCACAAGGGCTGGGCTCGGGTCTTGTTGGCGCTGCTGTACCCTGAGCCGGCAGTGGTGGCTCTAGGGAGTCCTCAGCAAGGCTCTTGGCAGAAGGAGTGGTTTTCAAGCTAGGGCCTTGCCACCCCTCAGCCTGTATGTGGTTATTAGGGAGCTGGTCCAACACTAATTATAACTAATTCCTAGAGATTAGTCCATCATTTTTCTTTCCTCATAAAGGCTGTTAGTTGCTTTCAAATGAAAGAAGAGTGGAGGATTTTCCTATCTATGTCTGAAAAACCCTGGCTGCTCTGTGCAAAAGAGAAGTGTGCTACACAGTACTTAACACTTCCTTTTTTTCCTGGGACTATGCCTGTTCCCCTGCACCGAGTGGAAAGGCCTCATGTCCTGACTCCTGCACAGAGCAGTGCAGATATCTGGAAGGAAGGGAAGAGAGTGGAACCCGATCCAGAAGGAAAGAGCGACGTTTTTGACCAATAGGGATTATTTCTCTGAATTGTTTTAGAAGTTACTTTTCTCTGTGAACGTGATATGATGTGAAATGCATACAGAAAAATGCATATTGTTGAAAAACTGGAGCCTCATCTCTGTCAAAAGAAAGAATATAGTTTAACAGACTTTTTTATTTGGGGATTTCTAGGGAGTGTCCTTGTGGCCCATCATTGGTCCGGTTTGGAGGGAAAGCGAAGGAATATTCCCCAAGGGCGAGAATTCGTTCCTGGATGGGGTGAGTGTCAGAGCAGAAGTGTTGCTTTACATTCCTCAGGTCAAGGCTAGCTTTCTCTTGGCACCAAAACCAAACAATCTAATGACTGCAGGGCCATCTTCCAAAACATAATCAGTATTCAGCTGTACATTTCTTCCTCTTCCTGAGGTTTGCCATTGGTGGGCAGATTTATTGGAGTGCAGTGATCTGCTTTCTATTTAACTATTGTACAATCGAATTGTCTTTTGAGGTCTCGGGTCCATCCTCTTACTCCTCCCATGCTGGATCTCTTTGGGTCTGTCCACTTAGCATTCCTGCCCTTCTCTTCTGGCGTAGTTCCACTCTTAGCTTGCACATGCGTTTCTGCATCGTCTCAGCTGACCTCCTTGGCCTGGGTCTCTTTCCCACTGACCTTGTTCCTTTGTAGACAGACCTGTCACCTGATCTGAGCTCAGCACAGTTCTTCACTGCCACGTTCCCTTAGCGCTGAGTGCAGTTCTCCACGTCCCACTTGCCCAATTAGATGTGTGACACCGAGAGTAGGTGTTGCATGTGCTTCTACTCGATCTTTCTTACTCTTTAAACTGGACTGAACGTACAGCAAACGTTTTAGCAGTTACTAACACGTTTTCATTCCAGGTATGAGTTACCTTTTGACAGGCATGATTGGATCATCAACCGTTGCGGGACAGAAGTTAGATATGTGATCGATTACTATGATGGCGGCGAAGTCAACAAGGACTACCAGTTCACCATCCTGGACGTCCGTCCTGCCTTGGATTCGCTTTCAGCAGTGTGGGACAGAATGAAGGTTGCTTGGTGGCGCTGGACTTCATAACCACTGTTTTGTTTGAGATGGGAAAAATATAAACTACTTTTTTCTGACAGATTCATTGAACTATTTTCCCCGAACTGAATTGCACTTGTGGTGGAACAGGAACTTCAAGTGATTTCACTTTACCCTTCGCTTAGCAAGGGACACCATGCCCCGTTCGCTTCTGACGCATTTTACTTTGCAGTTTATAGAGATCACTTTAGGTCTTCCTCCCACTTAGCTTAAGTAGGAGGCAGTCCCTCGGTTTTTTCTTTAGCTGCAATATTGCCTGTGTATTTCATCTAGAAAAATCTGAACAATCTCTGATAAAGCTTTTAAAAAGTGATGAAAGCTGCTTTTTTTCTTACTGTTTTCTGAGGAATACTTGAGATGTAAAACCCGAAAGTCAATAGAGATGCTCAGGAGCTTTTACCTGGTCAAATATTTTAACTAAAACTGTTCATTATAAATAAGAATTAGTTGTGCTTTTTAAAAAGTTACCAATAATTCCAGGGTCCCTACAATACAGTAGTGCTCTTGAGCAAATGCAGAGGTATACACTGGAAATGCACTCAGCAAAACTAAGGCGTGTCTTGGCTCTCCAAATTCTTATTTATATGAATTTTTCAGTCAGGACCTTGTTATAGAATAGTTCAAACTACACCATGATTTGATGATGTGCATACTTTAGAACGTAACTTTTGTAATATTTTTCTTTTAATTCCTGTTGTTCTAATATGTAACTGCTCCCAGCAAACAGGTCTCCTCGTTGTCCCTGGTGTTTGACAAGTTATCCCAACTTTAAGTTCCCTTCCTGCCCCTGTTGGGAGCCTTCCCGCCAGTCGGCCTAATCGAAACCTTGAAAGCCTGGCACAAGTCACAATTCTAGAGGTTGTCCCTCTTTAAAACATGATTATATTTGGCTGAGTGTTAAAATGCACAAGAAGAGTATTTTTCTCAGATGCAGAATATTTGCATCAACTCACTGTCTCAGTTTAGATTTTTTGTTTTAAGGAAGCTCTAAGTTTGCCGTTGAAATACTTTGTACCAGTCCTCCATAAACTGCTTGTTTTGATTATAGCAACGTGTTACAAATGACTGTTGTTTCTTTTTAAAAGTGTTGATAATATTAAATCATTTAATTTATCCTGAACACTGTAGTGTTAAATTAGTAAATGGAATGGGCAGTCTCTGCATGGTTAATTTGGTGTGTATTTCTCTATTGTGTCAGTATGGAGTTTTAAAAATCCAACAACCTTACTCTACATTTCAAAACGTGTGTATTTTAAAATAAGGCTGAGAGTTAACAGGTTTTGAAAATCTTTTCAGAGTAGCTTTACTCTTGTTCCATCAGACACATAATTTTTACAAAATTAATGCCATAGTCTCCCTACTGGAGGCAGGCATTTTCTCATCTGTTAATCACATATTTTAAAACTGTAGAGGAAAATAATTACTGGGTTTTTTTCTAAGTGCTATTGAATAAGTTTAAATAAGGTATTCTTATGATAAACAAAGCATAAGTGGAAACTGAAAATGAAGCCATAGGTAGGGATTCACCCCTTTTATAGAGCTATAGTATTTTTTGAGACAACCTCAGAAGCAAGCTGTCAAGTAGACTTGATGAGATCAATGGTTTTATATACCCTTTCACTGCTTCCAGAAAAGACTTACGACCTACTGGATACTCAAAGCTGCTATGTGTCTAGATTACACTTGCTCGGGTTAAAGAATCGGTCCTTCTCTAACATACAACTTGAAATTCAGTTCGGGTATTTTCTGGGGTTTTAAACGAAGTCTTTTGTCTATGGAAACAGCACTGTTTCAAATCAGAACAACTTACTGTCCATCAGGCTAAGTGTTAGCAGACAAGGTAGGGGTTTGATACAGTTTGAAGATGTTTGTTCCCCCACAGCTCATGTTGAAATCTGATCCCCAGTGTGGCAGTGTTGGGAGGTGGGGCCTAGTGGGAGGCGTTTTGGTCGCAGGGTAGAGAATAGATTAATACCCTACCTGGGGGTGTGGTGAGTAAATCTTGCTCTGTTAGTTCTTGGGAGTGCTGGTTGGTAAAAGGAGCTGGCGCCTCCTCCCTTCTCTCTCTTGCTTCATCTTTTGCTGTGTGATCTCTGCACCCCCTGCCACCAGAACAGCCTGAGGCCTGTGCCTGATGCAGCTGTCCCAGAATCTCAAGCCCCGTAAACTCTTTTCTTTATAAATTACCCAGTCTCAGGCATTCTGTTATGGTAACATAAAAGTGATGGGCCACAAGTACACTACCTAGAAGTCCCTAAGTAAAAGTCTGTTAAAATATTTTCTTTCCTTTGACAAAGATGAGGCTCCAGTTTTTCAGTAATATACATTTTTCTGTATGTGTTTCACAAAATGCCACATTTGCAGAGAAAGATAACTTCTAAAGCAATTCAACATTATGTTTACCGCAAATATAAAGGTACCAAAAATTATTTCAAAAGCCATGTATGTTCCTTGTAACTTAAGGTAGTTTTTAAAAATTATATAATTTTTTAGGCATACAGTGTATTAAAGTGAAGCATATCAGCTATCCCTTTGTCCACTTAGGACAGAAATAATACATGTATCGCTGCAGTGGAGATTAAATAAAATTCCATGACGTTGGTATGAGTGATAAAGCATCTAGTTCATGCTTGTGCATTCCTCTGTTTTGAAGAAAAAACCAACAGCACTTTCTGCCAAGTATTTAACCTGGGACTCGCATTACATAGCAAGTATTCCAATGTCGTGGAATCATAGACGCTGCTAGAGCAGACGTTAACGTTTCTAAGACTGGTTTCTTCTCAGGGAGCCTATATCTAGTTGGAGGCTGAGGCATGTACACGTGGGTGCTCTCACATTTATAATTAGCTTTTAATTAATGCTTTTACATACCCAAGGTCATATGTGAAAGGGCCATAGAAATGATAAGTGTTGAGCACTGTAACATAGAAACTGAGACAAGAGAAAGTTTCATGTTTGCAGTCAACAGAGTGCTGAGGATGCTGAAAGGTTTCTGTTTTGGAGCTTTGCAGAATCATCATTTAAACACTTTGCTCTTCCTTCTACATTTGGGATAAGTGTGACCAGTTCCTGTGACCCTTCAATGGTTTGGTGTGGAATTTGATCAGGATGCTTTTGGCTCCAAGTAACTGAGTCCCTGCTCGAACTCATAGCCAGAAGTGCAGAGAGTGGGTGTGCACCGGTCCATTCCCTTTCTCTGGACTCCGTTTGCTTCCATGTTCAATTTCAACTTCATCCTTTCAGGGCTGGTTCTTTTCATCGGCGTCAGATGGCTCCTAGTTGCTGTCTGAGCTTTATGACCCTTGTTTACAGCTAGTAGATATGAGGTGGGGTGGGAGGGGGGACGTCTACCACAACTACAGTGAATTAAGGTTTCTCTTCAATCTAATGGGGCCAATTTAGCCTCTGGCTTGTGTCCTCCTGCTCCTCCTATTTTACATTCGGGGGAGAGCCTCAGGCTTAGATTAGCTCAAATCATTTGGAGTGAACTGCAGGGTCCACTAGAGGATTACTTCACTGTTCATTTAAAGCTCCATCCTTAGTCATCATTTCATTACAGTCTTTTTCCTTATTTGGGCCCATTTCTTAAGCTGGGGTTTTAAATCTGGAGGTGGTAGCTAGTGAAATGGCATAAGCCAGGACTGGAGAGCTTTATTTCTGTTCTGATTCTCCGCATCAGTTGAGGGATTGGGGATGTCACTTTAGATCTGTAAGCCTTACTTTTCTCAAATTATCGTAAATACTCCTTGCAGACCAAAATGTTTATGTACTTTATGTGGCCTATTTCTTATGTTAGGATGGACTGGGTCATGCTGTGTTTTAGGCTGAGAATTTTTAAGCTAAGGGAAAATAATGTGGTTTGAAAGCCTATTTCAAACCGGTTTTTACGTAAAGTACATCAGTAGACGTACTCCTAAAAGACCTACATTCAAGCTAGTCCAAGTTAACCAGTGCTTTCCCTTCTCTCTATAAAATGCACTGGTTTGGAAACAACCCAAATGTCCTTCAATTAAGGAATCAATAAACAAACTAGTATATCCATGCGATGGAATATTATTCAGCCATAAAAAGGAATGAAGTACGATGCGTGCTGCAACGTGGATGGACTTGACAACATTGTGCTACGTGAAAGAAGCCAGACACAACGGGCACATTTTGTGTGAAAGGCCTAGAAGAGGCAAATCTACGGAGACAGAAAGCAGATTCGTGGTTGCCAGGGCTGAGGGAGGATGAAGGGAGAGTCACTGCTAACAGGTGTGGGAGTGTCCTTTGGGGGTGATGAGATGTCCTAAAATTGATGGTTGTACAATTCTGTGACTATACCAGAAACCATTGAATCATATACTTTAAATGGGTAAATTGCATGGTATGAAATTATAGCTCGATAAAGCTGTTTATAAAAAAGAGAAAAATGAAAAAAAAAAAAAAATATGCCGGCTAATCCTTACAGCTAGCAGGTCCCCACTCCGCTCTGCCCAGCCTAGTTGAGTAGTCACTTTACCAAGAGCCAGTAACTTAATTATTTTAATTAAGCAAAACAAAAGACAATGCAATGTAAGTGCATAAACCAAGTCTATAAATACAAATGCATGATTAGGAAGGGTTTAAAGGAGACTGACTAAAAATATTGGCAAAGTTTGGGAATAACTGGGACAGGGTTGGGAAAATATCGTAAAAATCCCTTACGGCTCTTTGCTCACTGCTTTGCTGTCATTTCTTAAACTTGCTGGTAAAAAACCTGGAACTGAGGTTGCAGATGATGCAGTGTGGACGCGGTTCACATAAGACGGAAACAATGTATGCTTGTGTGCTTTCCATTAAAATGTAACATGATCATTTTACGATTTCCTGTTTCGGCTGGATTTTTTTAAAAGTACGATTCGACATCGTTCAGGCAAAGTGTTGCATCGGAACAGCACTTTGGATCTTGCTGCCTTTCCCCTCCACGCCTTTTGTGGTTCACCCAGCGAGATGCTTCTCAAACTTTTGTTGTTTATCCGAATCCCCTGGAGGCCTTGTTAGAACACAGATGGCTGCGCCCCGCCCTGTAGTTCCTGACCGGGTGGGCCCTGGGCCGCGGAGAACTTGCGTCCCTAACGAGCTCCCAGGGGCTGCCGCTGCCCCTGAAAGGGGCTTCGCTTTCCTCTGGCAGCCTTTGACTCCTTACAGCTTTCACCGCCTGTCTTGCAATTCATTTACAATCGCACAGATTGGCATAGCCGTTGGGTCCAAGTTCCAGCAGGAGATGTGAAAGCTCATCTTAAATGCAAATGCCACTTTTCTGTTTTTGCATATTCCCCATTTCTTCCTTTAAGTCCCCCTGCTCCTTTGAAAGCTACGTCTTCAGGTGATGACAATAGGGCAGGATGACAATGGGGTCACAGAAAACCCCTCTTATATTGTGTGCTGCTTCTACTGATGGTCTCAAAAGGAAAACGCTTTCGTGTTGGCTGCCACCTTGAGCTGGAGAAGTGTCTTGGCTTGTCCCTGCTACTTGACCTATGCTCGACATATTAGTTTGCTAGGGCTGCTGCAACAAAGTGCCACAAATGGAGGGGCTTAAACGACAGAAATGCATTCTCTCACAGTTCTGGAGGCTGGAAGTCCAGGATCAAGGTGTCAGTGGGGTCACGCTCCCTCTAAAGGCTCTAGGAAAGGATCTGTTCCAGGTGTCTCTCCTAGCTTCTGATGGTTCTTTGGCTTGTGGCAGCCTAATCCCAATATTCACTTGGCATTCTCCCTGTGTGCATGTCTTTCTCTGCGTCCCAACTTCCCCTTTTTATTAGGACACCAGTCATATTGGATTAGGTCCTTCCTAATGACTTCATTTTAACTTGATTATCTGCAAAGACCCTATTTCCAAATAAGGTCACATTCACAGGTACAGGAGGGGTTGGGACTTCAACATCTTTGGTGGGGGACACAATTTAACCCCCAATATTCACATTTGCCAAATGGCTGTGAAAAAACTCACCCAGGGCCAGGCCAACTCACCCCTCTGGCGTCCAAGCGCTGTCACTGCTGAATTGCTCCACTGTGTTCATTTGCACGCTCTGCGCGGCCGTGATGTTGCAAACCAGTGCTAGCTTGGTCCCTGGCAAGGCTTTACCCTCTGCCAAGCTCAGATGTACTCATGGCCACAGCGGTGTGTGCCTCTGCATGGACGGACA